ATGCAACTGCTGATCTGAAAGAAATGGCAGTGAACTGGAGTTTTGCATGTTAGAGCAGCACAAACAGATTAATTCATATATTCTTTGCAGAGTCCAGTGCTACCAATACAGCTAGTTTATAGCCATAAGTAAATAACGATGAGCTCAATTGATGCAGTTGCACTATTGCGGTACGAACCTTGTGCGATCCTCGCTAGTGCCACCCAATTCAGTAAGAGTATTTATGCTACATACTTTTTTGAGAAGTGTGGGACTATGGAGCTGGCGGTTGCCGTGTATCTGGCTGGCTTCGTGCCGTGGCTGCATTTGGTTTGCCTTTGCTGCTGCTGCTGCTGCCACCGCTGCTGCTTCAATATTTTTTTTACGTGCATGTGTAATCAACAGACAGATAGTAAGTAAGTATTTATAAGTATGTACGTAAGTAATACGCATACAGATACGTGAGTTTGAGTGTATGAGTGTGCGAGTGTGTGCTTAAAAAATTGCACAAAGTTTAAGCCAGCGCTGCTATAAGTATGTGTGTATGTGTGTGTGTGTGTGTGTGTGTGTGTGTGTGTGTGTGTGTGTGTCAGTCTCGGCGCTGTTTAACTCAGTCATAGAACTGTTGCTGAAGTCACGTAATTCAAATAACTAAAGTTGGCGTAAATATGCCAAGCATACAACAGCAGCGAACTCACACACACCCAAACACACACGAACACACACACATACAAAGGGTGACTAACGCCCTTTCTGCCAAACACAATTGCATAGCTGTTGGTTCCCACTGCTCCAGTTGTTGTTGCTGCTGCTGTCAGCGCTGATGGAGAGTGCAGGAGTGAGCGGGAGGGAGGTATAGAGCTTAGTGTGCTGTTGGCTTGCTTTAAGCGTGTTAATTTTGTAATTTGTATTAAGCGCTCGTTTTAATTGGCCAATCAGTGACGAGCATAAAGCACTGTAAATGCGCTCAAGCAGCAGCAACGGTAAATCGCAAACGGCTTAAGCACGCCACCAATTAGCTGCTAGGGCAATTAATGTTCTTCAGCATTCAACTGCACTGTGCACACAAATACACACACACTCACAGCGCACAAAAGATGGCCGGCCACATACTTAAGTCTGTCTCACTCACTCACTCCCACGCACATCCGCAAAGCTATGTAAACATGTGCTTAAGCAAACTAACATAACTGTCAGCTCTTTCCCTTTCTGCTTTTTATTTATAGAATTGACTGCATTCGTTTGATTTAATACAATTTGCACTTGTCAAACGTTTTAGTTGTTTGCGCAATCGCTTTCGCTCTTTGACTACTACTCCATGTTGTTGCTGTTCTTGTCGCACTTTGACATATGCCCAGCTGTCATCACCTTACGGCGCAACGTTGCCACACTCTGCAGTCACTTAACATGCTTGACACATTGACAGTTGCTTCTGTTCTCCTTGTTGTTGTTGTTGTTGCTGTTGCTGTTGCTTGCTGTTGCCGATTATGATCTTTACGGCAGCTGCAACTGACTTCCGCTGCCTGCCCCCACTCTCCATCAGCATTTGCCTTTATCATGACGTGTATTGATTTTGATTTATGTATTTGTGCATGTTAACTGATATTTATCATGTCAACAGCATTTAATTAATTAGTTAAAAGCGTTTGCTAATTCGCCAATATACACGCGGCCCCACCCACCAGCCAAGCCACCCACTCCCTATGAGAGCTTAGCGGCAGCTTAACAGTTTCATAGCCACTTTAGCCAGCTTATAGCCATTTCTAGCTATTTTAAAAGTCAAATGGCTGGAAGCACTTATGCAAATAGCTTTTTGTCGCCAAATCGAGCTATGTTAACACTTAAATCTCTTTTGTTACTGAGTCGTTGAAACTTCAAATTGTACAGCTATTTCTCGAATACTTTTACTAACTTGTGTGTGATTATCTCATATATAATTTTTAATTATATATACATACACACTTTTATAGAAGATAAATGTAATCTGTAATCACAGATTATATTTATCATTTATCTAATTATGAAATCATATTTAGCTATTAAATAGCTAAATTAAACTTTTTAATTGTGGCAGCACTTGCAGCATTTCTGCCGCCCAGGGTTATATAATCTAATGCATTACCGCCCACTTGAAGGCATGGCACGATGCGCTACGCGTACTAATGACTTATCTGGCAACGCTGGAGGAAATGATTTTAAAGCTAACTGAGCACAGTTTGGCGGGCACTTAAGCTGCCGTTGCCGCTGCTGTCGCTGGCAGCGCTCTTGATGGCTGCCGCAGACGCCATTTTGTAATTAGCCGCATTACAAGCAGCACTTGCTGAGATTTTAGCGGCTACTTTATATGTTAATGAGTTTTCTTGCCTTTGTCTTATCGCCGCTTCAGTTGGACATGAGCCTTGCGCGTGCAATTGAATTTTTACAGCAGCTTAAGCTGCAGCAGCCCCTCTTCTCTCTCGCTCTCACTTGAGAGGCGCCATCTTTGCTTTAAGTTGCATAATATGCAATATGAAAGCAAGCGGCCGCATTTTTATTTTGTTTTTCTTTTTTTCGGTTTTTATTTTGGCAAAGTTCAAATTGCATTTGGGCAAAAACGTAAAAGCAAAAAAATAACACAGCAATGTAAAGGAAAATGAAAAAACCCATTGACAGACAGGCACAGTTGCCGAGGAGAAAGCGCTCAGGAGAGCAGGAAGGGGTCAAAGCAAACAACAAGCACAAACAGAAGCTCGCATGTGTGCGCTCTCCGTCTCTATCTCTCTCTCGCTCTCATACTCTGCGTGTTTCTTTCTGTGCATATGCATTTGTATACGTATATGTGGCTCTGTGTGTATGTTCGAGCAACATTTTCTTATCTAAACAATATTTGGCGGGCCAACGACAACAACGTTTTTCTCTAGCTGATTGAACAAAGTTTGTTGCCACTCATTGTCGTTGTAGTTTTCGATGTTGTTGTTGGTGCAGTTGTTATTGTTTGCCTTTCGACTAGCGCAAAAATTGTTTCTGATAAAGCTCAGCGGCCAGCAGGAAGGATGCCAGCCTGCTTCTTTTTTATTATTACATTTGTGTACATGTGTGTGTGCCTGTGCACTTTCTGTTGCCGTCCAATGCTGTAAGCGACATCTGCCGGCATAAATAAGCACTAAAATGTTTATAATGCTGTCTAAAAACGATTTTGCGCATGTGACATGAACACACACACATACGCACACACATACGCACACACACAGGCACATGCACTTACATATCGAATGTCTTGCAAACGCAAACGGCTTACACTTTGAGCAGCACTGCAGTTGACAGTTATATGCAGACAGCGAAGCGAAATAGTCAAATTTTTTCATATTTCCATTTAATCTAAATAAGAGAAACGCCAAATTTGATTTTTGTCAACAAAACTTTAATATTTACTTATTTTGTACCTTTTAATGTCTAACCCACAGTTTTAAAGCTAAACTCCGTTTTGTTACAGTTTTAGTAGCACTGCAATTTGCGGCAACAAACGCATTAGTCAAGACAGCTGCGCTAACATGCACGCGAGCGACAGAGATAGCAACAACAAAACACAAAACTCATTTGCTGGCAGCGGCGTACTCAGTGTGAAAGAGAGAGGGAGAGAGAGTAGTAAAAATGCCTGCACTCAATTTAATTTAATTATATATTTACTAAAAACTATTTGTTTATAGGTTTTGTTTCTTTGTTTGTTTGCTTTAAAATAATTTTCATTCTTAACATTGTTTTTGCGGATGTTTTTGTTTTGTTTTGTTTGGTTTATTTCCCACAGCATTTGAAAATATTTAATTA